AAGAATAGGAATGGAAACACGAGTATTAATTAACCAGTGCATGTTGTGGGAAAGAAATGCATGTTTATAGATTATTGACTATCCACTGGTGGAATAAACATGCATACTTCTCCTTTATTTTAACTTGAAGCAACTTGAGGTCTTCTTTGAGAGAGTATCTCCAATTTTGAATGGTTGGCCACTGATCTTTAAATTTATTTCCATTCCTTTGAATCCAAATATTCCAACATTCTAGGGCTACAATTTCTATGGTAAAAGTTTCGGGAGTTGATCAACAACTAGCATGATGTCTTCATAGACAAATGTGCCTCTATTTTTATTGGGAATCAATGAATTCCAGCAATCCTGTGCAAAGTTGCAGTCCCACAACAAATGCATAATCGTACATATAATCATTCAAAACATACTATTATTACATCTAATTGAAATCCTTAATACCTAATTTTTACATATCTCGAGCATGGAATTTCACTTTTCTATCTTCAGATAATTTCAAACACGGGTCGTTCATATCTGTTGCTTACAAGAAATGTACTGATGTTAAGACCTACCTTTTTCCAAGGCAACTTCAACAATCAATCAAAATTGACTCATGTCAACATTCTTTTGTATTTGATAAATCCATTCAAAACACCATGAACATGATCCACCTTTAGTCTAGACTCTGAATTGTATTTTCATCCTCATTCTCTAGGATTGAGTCATCTCCTTTAGTTTGATAATTTGAAATCTCTGCTAGATATCGATGTCATGCTAACTTGACCTAGACAACAATTTACATCACTCAAAGAAAAACTCAAGTCATTATAGCAAACCAATAGTTGTATATGTGAATCATATAAATGTTCCTCAATATGTAAATATATTGAATAATACATCCGCATACTAATATGTTTTACCCTATGTAACTTAACTGAATACTTTTTATAACATTCTAATGCTAGTAATGATAGTATTTGAAACATTAAACTTAGCAAGTTATTTCAATAAAAAATTATATCCATTTAGTAAAAGAAGTTAAATCACCAATATAATCAAATAATCTTATGTTTTAGTACCAAGAACTTAGCTCATGACTCATGTATCGTTAAGTATGAGTGCACATAACTAACATTTCCATTTTGACATGTGTAAGTTTCTGTCTATCAAACTAACTGCAATACATTTACATACGTAAAAGTAGTGCCTTCATTTTTATTTGCCTTGTAAGCTTGCAAATAAAAAATATGAAACTTCTGCACACACAACGAATAGTCTGATCGTCCATTGCACGATGGCCTATCTAGGGATGTGTCGCCCTCTATTGCATGCATGGACGACTTCATTGGATCGTCGTGCAAAAGTCGTGTGCACAGTGTCATGTATATAGCACTGCTCACCAAAATATTAGATACCACAAATACTGAATACGTCCAATATGTGAGTTCTTGGAAGAGATAAAGTGACTACAAGGACAAACAACTACCAGCATAGACAAAAATAATAGGATTCAACACATACTAAAAATACACAACACTGTACAACATGAAACTTGAATGCAGATCAAATACAAGAACAACTAACATATTCACAGAATAGTTTGGTTACACCTTTGCTCCTCCTCTTAATATGCTTCACCTCTTTCAATCGCTAAGAACATAATCAGTTATGTCCCTTTTGTTGTACACCATTGCTGCTCAAGGACAAGAGCCCTTGAACAAGAACAACCGACTAGTAGAACAAACAACTTGCCAGAAGAAGAAAAACACGAATCATTTTTCCACAACCAAGCCATTCCACTTCATGCATCCATTGTTTATAAATATATGTGTACCCATTTCATGGGGCCCACACGACCAAATATATCGCTTTCAAGTTAGAAACATATTACGAATATTTGCTAGGGGCTATACGAGAAGAATATATGATATACATAAACATTTTTGTGAATCGTAGCACATATCAACGGCCCATAATATGCACTAGATCATGATTGGCACGCATTGTTGCGCTCGTCTATTTTTGGAATGGAATGGTAATAGTTTACATAGAAAATTGCCCGAAAGATGGTTGTAACATTTTGTCGAAACTTAGGCAATATGAATAGTTGAGAAAAAAACTTGGAACGAGCTAAATTTAGATCTATCTTCGGTTAACTAATCTTGTCGTCCTCAAGTACACAGTGCATAGAACCAAAATAACCGGTAAAATGGGTGTAGTACAAAGCAGTAATATAGAGTAGCAACATGACTGGGCCAGAATAGAGCAACACAAAATGTCATAAGATAAACACTTCATACAGTAAACGGAAAACCAAAGCTTGAACAACAATTGTGTGGCATGTCATCTTGGCAACTGGATCAAGTGTTTCCTACAAAGAGGAGAAGAACCATTAAAAGAATCGGAAATGTCTCGCAGCATACATGTAAATTTCAGTGTTCTTGCATGCCGTGGAATGGTCAAGTTGGGTACATTATCTATATGAAGTATTTAGGTTTACTTGATTGAAGGAAGTGGAAAAGGTGGATCCGAAGACATCACTATCCAGAGTAGCAAGAACCAATTGGAAACATACCAGGAATGTTGAGATAGTTGGAGTTAAACGCTAACAAACAATAAACAAAGATGCCAATACAGAACAACGGGGGATAAAATGTAAATGAGACATGCATACAGATGAGCAATTGTGCCTACAGTTTTCTTTTGAAACTCTACTTCATATCCTCCCTTAGTAATAACGAAATAAACTTGCAAAAACTCAGCTCGGCTGGAAACCAACATGAACAAACCTATGCGCGACCAGGTTGTAGCAGGTTAGTAGCAATGCCTAATACAACAAAAACACAAGAAATAAATTGCAGAGCACAACCAGGAAAACCATTACAGTATGATCAACATTTTTCCATTGATTGACAGGTATTGGTCCCAATCCTTGCACTCTCTAATTGTTTCCTTTTTTGTTTAGTGATATCTTCAAGTTGAAGTACAATTCCCCTATAGAAAGTCTAATACGTTGGGAATTCACGCACCACTAACATAACATGTACATATTCCATGCTAATCGGTATCATTCAGATAAATATGTCGTCGTCACATGTCAGTTTTAATACTCTTTTTAAGAAGGGATTCCACACCGATTTTACTAACGGAACCATAGAGATTCAAATTACCAATCGAAAACAACAAACTAAAATCAGAATTAGTTGTTTTCACCTCTACAGAACAATCACATTATCTGAAACTCACATTGTTGAACTGGTCTGGAAAAACCATCTGCCAGCAACATGATGAAAGTCTGGTCACCCTTTCTTCGGTGACACCTTCACTCCTTCAGTACATATAAACTACAAGGCAACTAAAAACTGCACAGAGTAATAATAGAGTAATAGAATCCCAGCCCTTTTTGAATTCTTATCTTCATTTGAGATTTCTGTATTCTTATCTTCATTTGTGATTTCTGTCGTCTCACGTGATGTCCTGTGAGCACAGAAGCAGCCTCTTTTCAAGAAAATAAACTATTATTATCAGAAAATAAAAACTTTAGTTAAAATTTTTACATGGATGCAATTCATAAGCTATTGCAGCAATACAGAACCAAAAAAAAAAGAAAGAAAAGACACGAAGCAAGCAAGTATAGCAGATGTTTCAGATCAAACCATATGCGGATTGAAGAATTTGTGAACTGGAGAAGTGTATCGGAGCTCACCAACAACCAGTCATTGAGGTTTTATGAGAGGTGCCGATATAGTAACACGAGGACGAGGTGCTCCAGGTAGAAAATCCCTCTCGATCCGGCCCCCATAACCCTCTCAGACCGGTGGAGTACCGCAGCAGCCGTCTTGATGGCAGCGCACCTAGAGACAACAGCTGCACCCTCGGGCCTAGTATTTGGCGGCAAGTAGCAGAGGTCCAGCAAGTTCGACAAGAAGGGAACATGAAGAAATCATGGGAACGAAGCTGTAGGAAAAGGTTGAAAGAAAAAAGAAACACACACGTCCATTTACTCACAGTCGATGAGTGGCGCACATCAATCGTGATGAATGATCCTTGTGGATTGATTGCCTCCTTCCTCCTGTAATCCTTGCAGATCAGTTTCACTCTGCTTATGTCACCCACAATCAATATTCAGTTTCAAGGAACATTATTCATCATCTACATGCATCACCCACAACCTAACCTCCCCAGGGACCGCATCAACCGATCGAGGCAGCGATCGGCGCCTGTGCAGTTACGTCTCTTTTTCTTAACGTCTGATAATATTTTTTAAGAGGCATCTTAACGACTGAGAAATAAACAGACATATGTTACACCTTAGCCCATTTGGCCCAAATTCACAGAAAACGCCCGAAATAGTTCCCGAAGCAGCGGCCCACTCCAATTGATCGCTATGTGGTCAGCTTACAGAGACCATGGGGACCAGAACGACATCCAATGGCCAGCAAATGCCAAGACAACAGATCGAATGGTGAAAACCTCAAATGGCCTGAGAGGGCTGGATTACTGCACAATTTTAATGTCTCTAAATATCCGTGTCTTGTGTGCCTTAAATAGCCTCTCAGTGGCATGCGAGCTTTTCTTGAGAAAGAGGAAAGAGCACATACGCATAGTACCCCTTTGTAAAGAAATATAAGACTTTTTAACTCATTATTTTAGTGATATAGAAGTTTTTATATTAATTTAAAGAGGTACTACATTTCATTATCAGGCCCCGCGATAATAAAACCTATGAATCTCATCGGTGAACTTATTATACGTACATGAACCATGGACACCTACTAGGTGCTGTCTTCGTTTACTCCGCGTAACTGCTTAATGAATGCACTGCCAGCCGACACTTCTTCGCCGTGTGACATGGTGACACCTGCCTAGTGTCACCGTCCTGGCCAACTACTCCAAAACACGTAATACACGTATATGATCCACACATCAGCCATTGAAAACCTTCTCCTTAAACGTGTCTTCCAGATAAAACAATACTTGACTTGGTCCGGCCAAGAAAAAGAAAACATCTAAATTTCTCGATGCCTGGCTTGCCAGTTGCCACCACTCCAGCCCAGCTCCATACCTCTTACGCGCATACAGCGAGCATCACTCGATATACGTATTTCTCAAAAAGAAAAAGAAAAACTCGATGTAGGTGTACGTATAACTTGCGAAGCTGCCCAGATTGGATCCGAATCTGTCTCGGCCGCTACGTGATTCACGTAGCCGTAGCAGTGTATCGTGCAGGTTCCGGATCTTGTCAGACCTGTACATGTTTTTTCAGACACTTCTATAAGTTACTATTACAAATATATATAAGCTCGGAGAATATGCCACATTGGATTCTCCTAACAAAAAAAAAATCAACTCCCCCAGCTACTTCCCCAAAGTGTCACTGTCCAGTGGGTCCACCCTCGATCCCCTTTATAGCGCCACGCCTTATCGTTCCCAGTCGCTTACTTCCGGATCGAAAGTCGCCGGCCATGAAGCTCTCCTGCCTTCTCCTCGTCTCCTTCTTTGCCGCGGTAAGCTCTACCACAAGCCTCTCCCTTCTACTACTTGTTAAATCTCCGTATCATTTCTCACACCATGTATCTCGCTGGCTAATTAGGCGTACGCGTCGTCGGAGAGAGCGATCGCGGTCGCGGGCGCCGGCGGCCTCTTATCGGACCCGGAGCAGCAGTGCGTGTACACGGTGTACGTGCGGACGGGCTCGATCTGGAAGGGCGGGACGGACTCGGCGATCGGCGTGACCCTGCTGGGCTCGGACGGCACGGGCGTCCGGATCGCCGACCTGGAGCAGTGGGGCGGGATGATGGGCGCCGGCCACGACTACTACGAGCGCGGCAACCTCGACATCTTCAGCGGCCGCGGGCCCTGCATGGAGCGCGCGCCGTGCTGGGCGAACGTCACCTCCGATGGCGCCGGCGCGCACCACGGCTGGTACTGCAACTACGTCGAGGTCACGGCCACGGGGCCCCACATGGGCTGCGCGCAGCAGCTCTTCACCGTCGAGCAGTGGCTCGCTACCGACGCCTCGCCCTACCGCCTCTACGCCGCCGTCGACAACTGCGGCGACAAGCAGGCAGCTGCCAAGGGCCACGAGGCCAGGGCCGCCGCTCTGTGAGAAGTCTATGCACGCGCCGCGGCATAGCGTGAACTGCACCCGTGCGATAGACTTATATTGTTGTAAAGCATGATACGAATTGATCGATGTGCGCGATTCGCTTTGGCCGGCCTCTTGTTAGCATTGACACGCCGGAAATAAAGCCAGCGTTCGTTGTGTTCTGGAACGATCTGGTTGGTCAAATGAGGATGAGTTGTCTGTTAGCCTGTCAGTGTCAGTTCATCAGCTCTCGGTGTATACGTCTATTTATCATCCCGGTCTATGTTCGGTCCTCTGTTTCTGGCTATACTATTATACTATTAGTCCAACTCCACCACGCGGTCCCATCTTATCCGGCCTCATCCGATTGAGGCAAAACGGACATATCCCACGGCCCAGCGCGCGACAATCTGAACCTATTTGATCCGTTTTATATTCGGCCAACCCATTTCGAGCGCAAACATGTGCGGGTTTGAGTCGCAGGGGCAGCAAACGGACACGTCGCTTGTCCGTTTTGGGACCGCGTGGCAGGCGGCCACCTACCTCCCACCAGCCAACATTAATGGCACGCGCGACCGGTCCCACCTGCCATCCACCCAGCAAACGGCCACCGTCCTTCTTAAATGGGAAACCGTGGACCGGTGGTCGTCCACACTCCCCACTCCAGCCCTCAACGCCCCCTCGAAACCCGACATGCCCCAAACCCTAGCTCTCCCTCTCCCCGTCCTCGATCTCGCCGGCTGGCCGCCTCACAGCCATGGGGTTCTGAAACTCCGGCCGCAAGGGGAAGCACAACCGCGAGGCTGGCTCGTCCTCGGGTCGCCGTCGCGGCTCCGTGAAAGAGGAGCCCGCATCACCACCGCGTCGGGCCCCTGCGCCGGCCCCATTCACCACCGGACCTAC